TAAGTAATGGTTGCAGTAGTAGTAAGATGTAAGAAAATGTTTAAGTATTTTGTTCATTGATTGTGTTGTGAATACCCATAAGTTAAAATACAATGAGTTGAACTTTTAATGGTTGTGTGTTCATACACAACGGTAAGTGTATGTACTCATAGTGCATTTATATGAAATTATTATATGATAAGTTGAATGTAAGGTTTTTGTTACACTAATAAAATCATACAAGGTCTTCAATGTGATAAAATCAAGTACACCTATATCTATCACCACTTTGTATCAAATAACACACATCAGTAGTAAATAATATGTTACACAGTGTTACAAATGAAGTTAGTTGTATAAATACAGTAAAGAAAGTGATGAACACAACGATAAAACACTTATCCAGTACCTACCTACACAATTCACAAAAAAAGGAGAGTTTATTGAAGAGTCCAGTAATACCTACTTTGTGTAGTAGTAACATTAAGAAAATGTTAATTTATATAGCAAAACGTGAAGTATCCTGTTTAGGTCAAAGTTGATATATAAGTATAGTTGTAAGTTAATCTAGGTATCAAATTTTAGTCAATGCATGAGCTTGACCCAGCGTTTGTTATGCAATTGAAATCTGAAACAGTGGCAACACAATTGAATGTCGTTCAAGTTATTCTACAATTTGCTTTTTATACATACAATTAGAATATAATAAGCTGAATGGAATTCTTATGATAAAATAGACATTTAGTTTTCAAGAATGTTGTACCGAGCCAGTACAGTATTGTAAAGTATAAGTAGGTATAGCAGAGTAACCTAAGTTATGTACAGAAACAATTTATATAATATCTATGTATCTAAGATCACCGTGAATATTAACACGGAATAAACGTAAACAAATCTATTGTATTAACTTTTGAAATAATAAAAAACATTTCTAAGAGTACCACATGTTAAATGATAAAATGCCTATCTAGTACACTACTTACAAACAAAGGAGAGTATACCTAGGTCAGTAGTAAGTAGTAGTAATAGTAGTATTATTTTGTTCATTGGTTGTAAATACCCAACAGAGAGTTAACTGTGACTTGCACTACCTATTTCGTAGGAGTGGATATACAGTTTATTATTTTAACAAAATGAATGAAAATAAAGTGTAATTTAATACAGAATTTTAACTTCCAACAATAAAAAGAAGAATATAGTAGTAAATATGTTACACTGTAGTACAAACAGAGTTAGTTGTATAAATTGCTAACAATAAGACAATATGTGAAATGATAAAATACTTATCCAGTATACAACTCACAAAGGGTTATGTACAGAAACAATGTATATAATAACTAATAAGAGCACAGTTAATAATGAAGCATGTAAGGAATTTAAACCGTAGGTTATCCTACTCTTTGATAATTACATACTATGGAATAAAGGTAAACAAACGATAAAATTAAGTAATTCCCATATTGTAAAATGTGTTGTACATCATTGTAATATCATGACTTTTGTATTTATATGTAATTCACTCGATATCGTGTATTAAACAGTAGGTACCTTTTGTGAGCTTGTATGTATTATCTTGCAACAAAAACGTTGATTGTCATAGAGTTGAGTTATTAAATTAAGTTAGGTCGCTAATATACACAGTAGGTACATTAAACTCACGGAGTACACAAAAGTATTAGTGACAAAGTGTAACTGTCACGGTTTACTGCAATGAAATGATATTTATTGAACATATTATGATTTCTATACACTCACCAAAGACGGCACTGCCGTGTGCCGCAGACGTCGGCGTTGTGCATTTCCTGCAGCGTAATCAACACCGCGGACAAAATGCCTCGAACACAGCGTCGATGTGTTGGTCACACCAAAACCGTGGTTCACCACAAAGGCCATCCACTGAACACGACGCACGTCGTTTGTTGGAAATCTAAAGGTGACATATATTATTGATTTTATTACATTGCTATGCATCAACGTGATGTGTAAAATAATTGTAAATACCCGTGTACTGAAACGCCATCAATGTTGTCCACAATTCCGCAGATGACGCAGCGTTTGACCATTTTGAATAGTCTATATTACAAGTATAATAATAAGCAAAAAGTAAATACTAAATAACATGAAAAACTCGTTAGAATCGAATATTATAATGGCGGACGACGGTGTCAGTCCGTTATCAGCGGTGATGTAAGACACTTGGCGACTCGTGTGTCATTTTTAGAAATAATAGGTACACACCGGCTTACGTGATGTACATACAAAATAGAAAAATTACATAGGTACCCAGCTTTTTATTAACGCAAAATTCCAAGCGATAAAACACGTGGTAACGCGCCGAAACCGCCAACGGACTTACGCGTCTACACCTCTCACAGCTAATACGAATGCGGATACAAAAAACGTTATAGGTATTCAAAGTACATTTTGCGGTGTACGAAAAAACACGAAACGCGCGGAAAACGAATGACGAAAAACGTGGTGAAAATATGTTCGTTCGCGATACACGCTGCCATGAATACACCTGTAGTTATATTATTATTATTGTAGGAGATATAAAAGTCGTACTCACCGGTATGTGAAAAGCGCCCAATGCAAAAAGCAAAAACTCCGAGAAAAGCACCGAATATTATAATAATATAATATAATACAACGTATAACTGTATTGGGCTTTTCCGGGTTGATGTGCGTTGCAAGAGCGCCGGTCACGAGTTGAGGCGTCCTGCAGGTTGTGCGTTTCGCTTCGCCAAAGTTGTCCCCCCGCGGCTCCACTCCACCTAAGTTCGAGTGTAAGCCGACCCCGCGTACTGTATCCCACCATAGTCTTGGAACCGTGATCATAATATTGGTAACCACGGGTCTAACATCATGTTGGTAACCACGGGTCTAACATCATGTTGGTAACCACGGGTCTAACATCATGTTGGTGCGTGGAATACCGCGTATATGTTTTGGTGTCTAGCAGGTCAGTCACGGCGGCCATGCTACCTATCTACCTACCTACTGAGTTCAGAACGCGATATTCGAGAAAAAAAAAGAACCTTCGACGCATGCATTTCGATGCCTGTATACAGTAACACCTACTCGACGGTGGTCGAGTAAATGTAGAGGGGAACGCGAATAAGTCATCAACTGGGATTGCAGAAGTGTCGAAAAGGGCTAAAACTGGAATTTTAGAAAAAAACGACGCGACGCATATATACCTACTCGAGGTATATATTACTCGAGGGTCGTGGTTTCGAACCCGGCCGCCGGGATATTCGATAAATTGCGGCGGCCGTGATAAATCAGAATTTTTTTTTCACTTTTTTTTTCGTCGTTTCGCTATCACTTCCGGCTTATCGTATTTAACAAAAATGTTCGGTTTTTTTTTTAAATTCGAATTTTGCCGCCTCTACGGACTTCGAAGACTTATTCGCGTTCCCCGTCAAAGCAGTCCTTGATACTATTTATTACTATACACGGGCGTGAATATATGCGTCGAAGAGTTCGATTTTCTTTTTTTTGCAGTTTTTTTCAAAAATTCGAGTTTTAGCCCGTTTCGGTCGTATCGAATTCCCCGTTTGGATCTTATTCGCGTTCCCCGCTAAATTTACAGCCGGCGCGAGGCCCTACTATTTCAGATACGAGTCCCGGGGAGGAGCGACGTCGCGGAAACGAGAGTAGATGTCAGTGAAGTTGGCCCCCCAACATTGTCCGATCAATCTCAAACCTGTACAAATGTTTTGCAAATACTTTTCAATAATTTGCAAATCTATTTTCAGAATTTGCAAACTTCAACTTATGCTGTGGGAATCGTTTCAAAATTGGGGGGGCAAACTTCACTCAGCCCCCCCACATCGTCCGATCGATCTCGGACTGGTGCCAATATTTTGCAAATAGTTTGCAATAATTTGCAAACTCATTTTCAGAATTTGCAAATCACTCGCTGCCCAGCAATTTCCATTTTAAAGTAAGGGGGACAACCCTACCTGCGCACCGTTAGATGACAGACAGAGAACGACATTTATGATTGAATTTGTTTAAACACTTGAACGATTTACCTACCTAAGTATTTTTACAAAAGGTAGGTTCCGAAAAAAAACTTTTTTAAAGTATAGGTATGATTTATAGTAGGTAAATTGTTATTAAATTTACAAGGCTATGGGCAAGTTAACTATTTTTTTTAAACTCGTTAAGTTAAGTTAATATAAAAACAATGTAAGTTAAGTTTAGTGTTAACTTAGCTAAAAATCAGTTACTTTTTTTCATATAGTAATTAATAATTATACCTACCTTTAACATAAGTATATGTATAACATAGTGATTCAATGAACGTCTTACAATTTTTAAATAAATGTAACGATATTACAAAACGTAGGTAATAGCAATTTTTTCATAAATTAGGTATGATCTATAGTAATTCAATTGTAATTAAATATTAAAATATAATATAATATACTTAAAGATTTGAAATATAAATTAAGGAGATTTTGAACACATGAATATAACACTGTTTTATTACAATATATTCAAGAATGAAATCTATTATCTTTTATTCCTTTTATTTTATTGTCTTTTGTGTTAAGCATAATTAATAAAAAAAAATACAAAGTGATTAATTACAAATAATTTATGTTAATATATTAAACTGCGTAAAAAATTAAGTGTGGTTGAATTTTTGTTGTTCCCGGATTTAAACACTTTTTAAATTTCTTTTCCAAATCGTTGTGTATTTCCCATATTCCACTGAACCTTCGTATATAAGATACATAGTGTACAGAGCTATAACCAACGGCCCCAAATAGCTTATATCTGTGAACAATTAAAACATTTTTTAAATTATTCATTTTTATTCTCATTCCTTACTATTCATTTTTTTTATCTTCAAAATTAATATAAATTGAAAGTTACTAAAATCAGGGTTTTCTGTCCTATCAATGTAACAAATTTATTTGATTATGATTGAAAAATATACATTTTCATATTTTATGGCCATCATCATAAAACAGTATTTTCAAAGTTTATTAAGAATCAAACTATACTCACAGATTGCCTTCAACGTTGACTTCAGTGGGAAACTCTGTCAAAATAAATGTTCGATTTTCTGAGTAGGAATCAGTTTCGATTATTAAATGTTGGCCTAATTCTCGCTTACTTATTGCCATAACATCATTGCATTTTGAACACTCTTTAACTTTTTCTTTTGTATACGTTTTCAAATCATTTTCTAGATCTTTAAATCTATTACTGAACTTTAAAATGATTGTTGGGCTTGCATATTTTGTTGATGCACATTTCAGGTTAGGACAATTAATAAATTCAGTAGCCGATGGGACGTGTTTTAGTAAGGACGTACAAATAAAAAGAACATTACACTCTGTATTTATCAAAGCAACATCAGTAACTCCTTGGTCTTCTGTAAACAATTCCTTAAGAATATTTATTCTTTCTTTATATATATCATGACGTGGACCACCTGAAGCCAATTTCTTGCAAAAACGTAAAACTGTATTTGTTTGTTCTTCAACAAATTCCTTGTATAAATTGCTGTCTGTGTATGCTATAGTTATAATAAATGCGACTGAATCGAACGGACATGTGTTACTAAGTAAATATCGTTTTTTATTCATCCGCAGAGGGGTTTTTAAATTACCATTTAATAGTAAACTTTCATGCTTAGACCTTATGTTTCGATCACATAAAACTCGTTCAATCTCAGGTGTTGGTTGCATATACTTTGTGGGTCTGCTTTTTGGTCTTTGACTTTTTTTTTAAGAACACCTTGTATGTCGTTGTTAGGTATTTCACTGGTTTTACTTTTATGTATGATCTGGGAATTGGAAAATGTATCAATGAATGTAATTTCTTCATTATCGTCGGAAATTGAAGATGAACTTAAATTATCAAATAATTGTTTTGCTATGTTTGTGTTTGCTTCAGACTCAATTTTTGTAGCAGTATCCTTAGAAGTGGGGAATATTTTTTGTCTTTTGTTATTACTTTTCAATGTTAAGCTTGTAATTGGTTCTTCACCTTTACCACGCCAATTTTCTATATCATCATCAGATGATAAAAAAGGATTATTAGACACACAATCACTTTCAACTGACGATATAGTAGTTGTTGGACTCTTATCAATAGCACTATTTCTTAGTTGAGAACTGCGAAATAGTTTTGAGTTACTATCAATGCTTTGGATGTGACGAAGTATGAAACGGTCAGCGGTCATCGGGCGGCTAGCATGTCTTAAAATTAGATTTTTTAGCTCATTAAAATCGCTTTCAACCGGGGCTGATGTAGCAATTTTAAATGGCGAATTAAATATATGCTGCATAACTGCAGTCCACAACGGAAAATGCTTACAAATTCGTTTAACGTCTTTTGCTAATTCTGGCAAAAAGTACGCAGACATCCTGTTACCTTTAACACTGGCATTTAATTTACTGCAATTTTCAATATCCTGTATAAATTGAGTTATTGAATTTGAAGATTCATCTATATCATCTGCATTTTCAATTCCTATATCTTCATTGTCTTGAGTATCACAGTCTGGGTAATTGTTACTAGTTTCATCAGCAGGTATGGCTTTCATAAGATTTATCAAATATACTCGATACTTCTCTGATGGATTTTCTTGATTCTCTGTTTCGTCTATCCAACCATCTGTTTCACTTAACATCACTGTCATGAATGCTGTTAATACATTTTTAAAAGTGTGAAGGTCAGTTGAAGTTAATAGAAGTCTAAAACAACGAACATAAAATTCTTTCAAACACTTTTTCTTGATACCACACAAACACTTAAGTCTACAAAAGGTTTTGATCATATGAGAGACGTCGATTCTAATATAACATGAAGGCAGTTTATCTTTTTCACCAGTAATTACAGAAAAACATTCATCAAGGTATGATTGAAAACTTAAATTACAAAAACTTTTACACATTGCCATAAGAAGTGCTCTGGAGTAATCAGATATGGCTTCACTAGGTGCACTCAGTCCACATCTTAACCACATATCCAGCCAATATGAAATAGTTATCGAATCATGCTTTTCACTTATCATTTGGGTAACAGGAATTTGGCCGAAACCTTCATTTACAACAGCCTCATACAAAAATATATCACCTGATAGTAGCTTAAGAGACGTACGTTTGATTTTTTTTACAAGACTGCCGGTAGCATCAATAAAAAGCCTACTATATTTTTTAGTAATATCTTTATATATAACAAGTTGATGATTGGTCCAATAATGGATAATAGCTGGATCACTGCCAATATGCTGAATATTTCCAGCCTGAGAAGTATGCTTTAATTCAATCAAGGAATCAATTGAATTTCTATTAATGACTCCTAATGATTTATCTATGTAATCTTGTTTAGTCTTACTCAACACATTATTTTTGTACAGATTTGGTGGTGAAATTCTTCCAAAATCTAAATCTTTTACCTGTTTACGTCTCCAATTTGAAGGTACATCTGTTGATAATTCATAACCAACCATTTTACGTTTAGTACCTTTCAACGGTCTTTTGGTCGTATGATTGATTTCATCGCCGACAGTATTTTTTGTTAATATACATAAATGTAATGGTTCACCTGGTTTTGGTTTAGCATCACTCCAACCAAAAAGATCATTTTTACACTCTTTACAAGTTGCTTGGAATGTTAAGTAATGTTTGCTTTTTGATATATCCTTATTCACTTTACCACGTTTATAAATGAAACAGCATGGCAATTTATAATTTGCCAAAAACGCATCGTTTATTATATCGGTCCATGTCCCTGGCTTCAATATATCATAATATCTTATATTGCCTTTACTTTTATATGGTACAGATGATACCAAAATGTTAGAAAAATCAGGTATAGTCAAATTAAATAACTTTTTATTATTGTTTTCTTCTGTTGATGAAGATGAAGACGTAGATTCTGTTTCTATTGGACTTACATTTTGTTGATTCTGAATACCTAGCAGATGTTTTATTTTATTTTGCCAATCATGCCTGTTTTGATAAACTGCTATATATATTGTCTTAGCTGACATTTTATATTGAAGTGCAACCGACAAATCAACCCAAACTTGATCAGATATTGGTCTTAAAATGTGATCGTCATTAAACAATAAATGCATTTTTTCTTGGAGAGCAGTGAATACAACATCGTGGTTTAATGCAGCAGGCCTACCAGTTTTTGTAATCTAAAACGAATTCAATAACAACGATTTTAAATATCATAGAAGTAGATAAAGTATAATTGTATAAAATATAAGATAACTGATTGAATTAAGATTTGTTTCAATAATTATACTCAACACAGCTGCAAATGTATTAATTTTGTGTAATTAGACATAATCTAAAAAAAACTAATTACACCATTGCATTATAAAATATCATAAACCTGATAAGCTTAACCTGACCTAACCAAATATGATCATCATTTAAAATGGATTAAAAAGCATTTATAATGCTAAATCATTGTATACAGTGATAAAAAAAATTTGGGCAAGTTGGTACCGCTCTGATACACACTTATACATCTCATATACAGTATTTAGTTGGTGTATAGAGTGGCCACTGTCATATTGATATTATATTATATGCTAAATATAAAACCATTGTAACACAGAATGATTTTTAACGATAACATATAGTTTATAATATTGCTATTTAAGTAAGTAATATAAAGACTGTGAAGGTGGCACCACATACATTGTTCGGTCCACACCAAAGTTCAATTTAATGCATTTATTTTCTAAACGACTTAAAAATATTTGCTGATTGCAACATGGTTTATGGTAATTTGCAGTACAATAACTTCATAACTACGGATTTAAAACACTAAATAATAATAAATAAAATACTAATATTAATATTAAAAATAATACATTAACTTAAAATTAAAAAGATTAACTAAATATTTAATTTAGTTTTTTTAAATGGTTTATTCAACCAGGTATTTGTTATTCTAATTCATTTTTTCTAAGAATTTGTTTTTAATTCAAATAGGCTTTTATTAATTTTAGATTCTGAACGAAGCGATGAATGTATTGATTTTACAATGATATGTGTTTTTTTATTTTAAAAATTAAGGAAAAAACTAGAATTTTGGTTTTTGGTGTAACTCTAAAAGAAATGAAAGTAGATCCATGAAATTTTGACTGAATATTTATATAAGCATTTTCTACACACCATTATATTTTCAAAATATTTTGACTTATTTTGAACTGTTTACGGACATTTTCATTTTCCGATTCTTTTAGGTTTTTTTTCTATAAATGTCTATTAAATTTTATTTGTTGGGTAAAAAAGCTTGAAAATTTATTAGAAGGTTCCTAGTATACTGTTTTAAAGGGGATGAAAAATATTAAAAATCCGTAGTCACAATTTTTTTTTATAAGCATTCAAATATTGATAAAATACGTAAACATCACGAAAATGGTGATCACCCCCTCCCCCTAAAATTATTTATCTATTTATTTATTCTATTCAACTGGGCTTTTATATTTCATCAAGTTTTTTTATCAATAGATTTTTTAATAAATATAGATTTTTTAATGCCTGAATAGTTTTTTATCAAATAGATTTTTTAACAAATATAGGTTTTTTGTTTAATTTGGAGTCGCGGAAGTATTGCGAAAGCTGTCCCTGTGACGCCGTCGGTTCAAACAGAAAAAAAAAAGTTTTTTTTTTAATAGTTTTTTTTTATCAAATATTGATTTTTTATCACTTATTAAACATTAATTTTACTAAGTATTTCTATATGAATCAATTTATTCATTTTTTGAAATTTTATATTCTTATTTATTAAAATATACATTAATTTTTATTCGTTTTATAAGAGTCAGTTATTTTAATTATTTTCAATTAATTATTATTATTATTATATGGTTTTCTTCAACCTTTTTTATTAAAAACATTTTTTCAGAAAATATACACTTTTTACTGAATATATATTTTTATAACGCGGAGGTGGCGGAGGTGGTGTGTGGCAGGTGGCGGGTGGCGGGTGGCGTTTCGCCTCTAGGGACCCAGATACTACTGCTATGAATTAACTAATGTTAATTCTGTCTATGAACACAGCTGGTAGAACATGCAATATGTTTTAGTTATAAATTAGTATTCTATAGTTATTTGACTGTAAAATCTCAATAAGTAATGGAAAACAATTACTTTATATCAATTGTATGTTCATTAACTTTGTGTTTTAAGTATAATCAAAGAACTAAATTGAATTTTAATAATATTTTAATAAAAATTATGCCTGGACTTTGAGTTGAATGGGCATATTTATGAACAGAACCGTAGCAGGGTTTATCAAAAAATTTAACGGTAAAAATATTTTGACATGAAAACAAAATAAGACTGAAATTGTGAAATGTAATAAAATTAAAAACAAAATAAATTAACTTAACTTACTTCTTAAAATGAAAAATTAATTCATACATAAGTGTGTGACTCTGTATGGTGAAGATTTTCGTAAATTGCAAAACAACACCTGGTTAAATGGAACTGTGATTGACGCACTGCTATTGACTTATGTGAATAATGAAATTGGTTATAATCCTGCGGAAATAAGCAATACAATTTGGTCAAGTACCAAAGTTAAAGTAGCCAAATTTGATTGGACTAAA